ACCGGGTGCCGGGTGAAGTATTTGGGGAGAAACGGTGGCAAGGCAGCTGGGGCGGTCGATGTAAGCGGAGCTAGGATATACGCCTCTTGTGCAATGTATTTGTGGATCTGTGTACACGTCTGTTAGACTATCCAAAGCTTTGCCAAGAAATAAATGTAATGATTATATTTGAAAGACAAATCTATATAATATATTTTTTAAATACAGAACTGAAAAAGCTGTAACCCCCCTTTTCTTGTTTCCCCTGTCCTGTACTCGCTGTCTGTGGTGGATGTAATAAACGTCGCTGGGTCTGTGTCTGCTTTGGCTGAAGCCAGCCTTTGGCGTCTGCCCCGAAGGGGGCTGGCCTGAGCGGGGACACAGGAGGACACGGGGACTCCGGGATGGGGAGAGTCCAGTGCCCCGTCCCCGCTGATGAGAAGGAGGAGAGGGCCGGTGGGACGCGGGGGACATCACGGGCTGGCAGTCCCCCCGTGTCTCCCTGCAACCACCAGCCTCTGTAGGGATGTGGGATTTTGTGCTAAAACAGCTTCTTTTGGAGATGCTGCGGGGGTACCTTCAGCGGCCCCTCCAGCTTCCAGGAGCGCGTGCAGACTCGGCCGCTGGGCCTGCCAACTCTGGCGTTGGTCCCCCCGGGATGGCAGCGATCACGTCAGAGGTCAGGGATGGAGTGGTCCATGGCCGACTTCACCAGCTCCGATGAGAGCCTGGGCACAGGGACGGGCACTCAGCAGGGGGAGCCCGGGGGGTTCCTCGGGGAGCCCCGTGAGGGCACAGTAGGGTGGGGGTGGGCACTACGGCCCCGCGGTCTCACCGTTTGACCATGTGCTCATAGATCACGGTGGGGATGATGGTCAGCGTGACCACGTTCCCGGCCCCTGACAGCACCTCCGTGAGCTGCTTATCCTGCGGGAGAGAGCGAGTGGGTCCCCGGTTCTGCCCACCATCCCACGGCAGCTCCGTACGGCCCTGGCCGGATCCTGGGCACCCCCGGGTGTGTTCAGCACCGCCGGTTGTGCACAGCCCCTACCTTCATGCCGATGACGTTCTGGCCGTTCACCTCGCAGATGTAGTGGTGGGTGAGGAGACCATTGCGGGCGGCAGAGCTGTCCTTGGCCAGCGACACGATTTTCCCCTTCTTGACCACGATGCCGACGTGGCCATTGCTGTCCTTGTGCACGGTGACAGTGCGCTGGAAAGGCCTGTGGGGAGAGCGCGGTCAGCCCTGGCACCGCCGGCGGCATCGCCCATCCACCTGCCCACTCACCTGTCCCGCACCACCATGACGATTTTCTCCGGGGCCGCCTTCTTCAGCACCCGCTGCGCCTTGTCGCTGCTCCAGCCCGTGCAGTTCTTGCCGTTGATCTGCAGGATCTGGTCACCGAAGCGCAGCCCCACCAGCGCCGCCGGTGAGTTGGCCTTCACCAGCTGCACGAAGATGCCCTGGGGACACGAGGGGAGTGATGGCACGGGGACTGGGCAGCCGTGCCATGCCGCAGTGTGCCATGCCATGCTGTGCCATGCCGCACCATGCCATGCCGCACCCTGTTGTGCTACACCATGGCACGCTGTGCCATTTAATGCCACGCATTGCCGTGCATCACACCGTGTCACCCTGCGCTGTGCTGTCATGCTTGTGCCCTGCTGTGCCCTGCCTTGCCATGCAACGTCATGCCATGCTCCCCCGTGCCATGCGATGGTGCACCACGCCGCGCTGTGCCATTCCGTGCCACACCGTGCCATGCCATGGTGCATCACGCCGTGTTGTGCCATGCCATGGAGCAGCACGCCATGCCATGGTGCACCACGCTGTGCTGTGGGATGCCGTGTCACACCGTGCCATGCCATGGAGCAGCACGCTATGCCATGGTGCACCACGTTGTGCTGTGCCATGCCATGGCACACCACGCCACACCGTACCATGCCGTGGTGCACCACACCATGCTGTGCCATGCCATGGAGCAGCACGCCATGCCATGGTGCACCACGCTGTGCTGTGGGATGCCGTGTCACACCGTGCCATGCCATGGAGCAGCACGCTATGCCATGATGCACCACGTTGTGCTGTGCCATGCCATGGTGCACCACGCTGTGCTGTGGCGTGCTGTGTCACACCGTGCCATGCCATGGTGCACCACGCCATGCTGTGCCATGCCATGGTGCACCACACCATGCCACGGCGCACCACGCCGTGCTGGGCCATGCCGTGTCACAGCGGGCCATGCCGTGCCCCCCCCGCCCCCTTACCTGGTCAACATTTTTCAGCTGCAGCCCCGTCTTGCCCCGCTCGTCCTTGCAGAGGTGGATCTCCCGCACGCCCGGCTTGATCTCTGCCCGACGCAGCCCCACGTTGTTCCCGCTCAGGGGAGCGACCAGCTGGCCCGGGGAGGGCCCGGCGGGGGTCAGCGCCTGCGATGCAGCTGGGGGTCAGTGGGGCCGGCAGCGGCATGGGACCCTGAGCACATCAGCCCTTGGGGGGATGCTTCATCCCTTCCCTGGGCAGGATGTGGCCCCAGAGGGACCCCCCTCAGCAGCGATGCTGTGGCACTGTTGGGGGGAGCCCCATGCAGGGCAGGTGAGGGTGAGAGCCACGAGCCCAGACACCTACAGTGCTGCCTTCTGGGAGCAGGTTCTTCTGGATCTCTTCGCTGGAAAGAGCGAGGCCCATGTAGTTCTCCAGCTCGGCCAGGTTGGGGTACAGCAGAGGCGGCGCTGCAGGACACACCGAGAGTGGTCTCAGCTCATGGGGTCCTCAACCCACAGCCATCACCTCCCCCCCCGGGACCATGGGCCAGCGACCAGCACAAGAGACATGGTAGGGGATGGGCCTGGGGAAAGAAACCCCCAAATCCCATCCCCTACCCATGCACTAAGCTATGGAGGGTCTCCGCTGAGCCCCTTCCACAGTAAGCATCACTCCCCCACCCCCATGACAGCCCCTCTGCAGGGAGAGCCGATCGCAACCCACGTTACCGGTGGCCGAGACGAGCTTTGGCTTCTCTGTCACCACCGTCGTGGTGGGGGTCCTCACCCCGGCAGCTGCCTGCGCCTGCCAAGAGACGGGGTTTGCTCGAGGCTGTGCCCCCCCAGCCCTGGGGACCCTCCGGTGGTGGGACGTGACAAGGACCCATCGGGGTCTGCTCACCCCCCTATAATGCTGCCGTGCTGACACTGACCTGCAAGATCTGGTGGCCCTTCATGTCCTCCAGGGAAGGGTAGAGCGTTGCCATCACTGCTGCTGTGGCCGTGTCTGGTGACAGGGACGGGGAAGTTCAGGGACGAGGTGCCTCTCCCAGAGCATCACTCCCATGCCACGTGCCTGGCTCCATGTGCCAGATACGGGCTGTCACCTGAAGCTTCCAGCGTGACTCAGGGCTGTGTCACCAGGGCCACCACCACCTCTGCCGCTTCCCAGCAGCTGGGACACAGGCGGCAGTGCGCTGGACACGGGTACTCCGGGCACCGCTCAGCTGGCAGCAGGTCCCACTCCCCATGCCCACCTGCCCAGTGGGGCCATTCCAGCATCACCCTCAGCTGGCAGCAGGTCCCACTCCTCATGCCCACCTGCCCAGCGGGGCCATTCCAGCATCACCCCCACACGGGAGCAGTACATCCCATGGGAACAGTCCCTCCGACAGCTCCTCGCAGTCCCCTCTGCCCCTCAGCGTGCCTCGCGCTGTGCCCACGGCAAGGCTGTGCCACCCAGCGCTGCCCCAATGGCATCACGTGCCCCGAAACGCATCGTCCAAAACTCGGGGGGTAGGGGCCAAACCCAGACCCAGCTCCGAGCCCCATGGGAACCGGGCAGGATCCCCCTCCCACGCAGCCCAGGGACCGCAGCAAGCATGCCCAAACGGACGAGACCCCCAGAGCCCAACCCCGGCACCCCTGGACTCACCTGCCAACAGCTCCCGGCTCTCTGTGCCACCCTCTGCCCGACACCGGGCTTTTATGGCCATACGCAGCCCAGGGAGGGGCCAGGCAACCTCAGCTGACGCCACCCCCACCAGGTAGGGCAAAGGTGAGGAAGAGGAAGAGGAAGGCAAAGCTGCGCAGGGCCCTGGCACTGCAAGGATGAGGATGGGGACAGGGATTGGGATGGCTTTCTAAGGGTTCGGGCATCCTGGGGGAGCAGGGACGGGGCTGTACCCTGCCCCTAAGCCACCATGGTGGCCCCCCACTTCCCACTGCATCACGACTCCTGCCGGCGCTGGCACCCGGCTTGGCCCCACCGCAGCTCGGTGCCCCACACCGGGGACCGAGGGTGCTGCCGGGGGGGGAGTGAAGTGGGGGTGCCCCACTATGAGCAGCCCCATGTGAGTGGCCGGCACCCGCTGACACCTCGCTGCCCGCCCGAGCGCGTGGGGTTGACGCGGCCATGACCGCGATGCCGTGTCCCGCACCCTTCCAGCTGTCACCGGTGGCTCCGGGGCACGCGCCAGGCGTGATGGCCCCGTGGGAGTCCCGCGCCGCAGGTGGAAAAGCTGAGCGAGCGCGGAGCTCGCCTGAGTCAGGGCACGGGGCGGACACAGGCATCCCGCTGTCGTGGGACGTCGCCACGTCACCAGGGCATCCAGCCTTCCAGCACCCACCTGTGACATCCCGCTGACAGCACAGGG